TGTAAAGACACTTGGAAATGCTCCTCGTAACGTGAGATGTCTCTGGGTTAACTAGTAGCACAAGTTTGGATGCGAGGGTTTTCACTAACTGACCAGTTCCAATGGAACCGGCCCAGTTAAGTTTTTTCCCGGGTCGATTTGTACAGTCGTTCCCATGTGGAGCTTGCCGGTCTGACTCTCAACGTGTCGGTTTAGGGTGATGGAGGCCTGAGCCCTGAGAGTAACTGCTATTTGTTGTTGTCGCAGTGTTCTCGGTCTGCTTTCACAACAGTGAACATTCCCGCTTATGGTGCTCTTGACTTTATAACGTCTCTAGCACTCTGGTAAGGACTGCGGATTCGAAGTTGACAGCCATTAGTCTAGGTGAAGTCATGGTTGTCCGATGTGAGCGGCGTGGCAGTCTGCCGATTGCCACTGCTGAAACTCCACTCAGCTCCATCCGAGCTGATAACCACTCCCGTTGTTGGACGTCATGGGTGTATTTCACGTATGACCATGGTTGTGGGTTTTAGTGGATCAGCTGCTTCTCGAGACGTCTTTCTTGACATCTATGATAGGTCAGGTCTAGCTCTAATATTGGAGTGTGTGACAGTAAAAGGAACCTTTCATCGTCTCTAGTTGAGCCTAGAGTCACTCTCATTGGCAGAGGCTTCCCTGGGGTGAATGGATGCCTTTGTACAGTAGACACAGTTTTGCCTCGAAAGCACCCAGACCTAGCATGACACAAAGGGAGGTCCACTGTTGCTTATTAAATGTGTCCTTATGCTCCAGAAGGCTATCATTGCAGTCAGGAACGTTAAATAGGATGCAGAGCTAGATCGGTCACTGATGGCAACATTATCCGATCCTATGGATGCGTTTTCATGGATGATTCGAGCTTTTTTCTCTACCCTAACCCATTTGTTATGTTGTCCGCTGATTGCTGTCACTGATGTAGTTCCAGGGCTTGGGGTGGATGTGGTTGCCGTTGTAGGCCGTGTTTTGGTCCGATTAAAACTGCCCAGATTTTTGATCTTCGGTAGGCCATTACCGAAATCCTTTGATAGTTGTTTGGACGAACACCTGCTTTTTGGTGGTTACTGGAAATTTATCAGTTACTCTAAGTAAGCTTGAAGCTAGGTGCGGTCTCAGAAGACACTGTGGACAAATGTACCAGAACCACGTGGATGGATGGCGCGTCATAAAGGTGTAGTACTGATGTGGTACTTCTTTATCACATCGACAGTGCACCCAACTGTTGCACTCAAACGCCGCATCAATTCTGATTACAATGAGAGTACATGTGTGGCAGTCATTGTCATGTCCATGAGGTTTGTCCAAATGCTTCCGTCTTACTCTGACGTTTCCACCTAGTGGTCCTTACTAGGGGGTCGGGATAGGTGCTAGGTGTAGCATGGGGGTCTGCGTTTACTTGACTAGGGACAGTGACGTTTACAGTACTGGAAGGATTGGCGGTCCGGCTAACTTCGAGTGTCGCAAGCCGTGACCGTTCGGTTAATCTGGACCTAGGTGGTGCGTTCTTATCCTTAGTAGCTTTCTTCGTCACGTTTTGACAGTTCATAGCCCCATCCCTAATAACCACTGGGAATAAGGTGGTCAGTGACTGCGGTGAGGCTATACCCGAAGTACTTCGGAGACTATTCATTTTTCGGGAGCAGCACTTTTACCACGCATATTAATAAATAGATGGAGTAGAGCAGTAGAGCAGTAAAAATGCAAAGCAAGTAAACAGAAGACCTTCGACATTACCTTTGATCGTCTGTTACTGCGACTCTGTCAAATTCCAAAGAGTACCAAGTCGTGGACGTAGAAGTTATTGGAATATGTTTCGCAGCAGATGCAGCAACCTGAGCTATAACAGTTATTCAAGACAGTTAGACCTATCACACAGTTGTCCGTTTGGCGCCTAATAGTGGTGATGAAGTAAGCAGTGGTTTGTTCTGCAGAAAAATTGTTGCAAAAACGTTGAATGAGGAGTTGAAAGCTCTCAGAGGATAGTCGTAAATGTAGATTTAGTTGAGATGGATAGAGACGAGCAAAAACACGTCACTACTCAAGGAGCGTGCAGGCTTTAGGTTTGGTCGTGGGTCGATGTATCGACCAAATATTCACCCTCTGCAAGGTTCCATAACACAGACACACTTACCAACCCCCGACACTAATTGCATTTCTCAATCCGATGGCGGCGTTTGACTGCGTCGACTGAAAGGTTTCACGGAAACATCTCACATTGAAAGGGCTGGCGGATGAGTCTGTCACCGCGTTAAGCATCCGCGGCTGTTACAGCCTATGATGGCCTATCATGCGAGTTGTGTGTATCCAGTTATGTCCGTCAAAGATGTCTACTCTCTCCTTATTCTATCATTCTGTCTGATGCTCAATATCAGATTTTAAAGGGAATAATCTTGTCACAGGGTACTATGTAGAAAGCCCTTTTCACAAAAATTACTCCGCATTCTGTAGTAGCTGTGCATGGTATCCATAAAGCTTTGTAGAAGTATGTTCAACATTACATAATAAGGGTATATGATCTTATAGTAACTTATCCAGGCATTCAATTGAAGCTTTACGAAGGAGGTCCCTGGACTGGAACGACTTCAGAGGGCAGGCATCTAGGAAGAAAATTATTAAGGAAGTCTGGACGTATTTCCGTTGTCTTTTTGTAGAAGAGGTGGTTTGGTGGGGACATTTTGTAGCCTGAATAATTTTGACTATTATTGTCTGAAATTTATTTACCTTATGGAGGAATGAACACGTCAGAGGCATTAGAGAAAACATTTATAACCTGGGGTGGAATCATTATTGACACGGGAACCGGTTGTCCCAAAATCTGGTTAGCTGTAGGTACTCATAACCGTTACAAGTGATAGAGGCACCGTTAATAAACGCGTTTACGAGTGAAAACCGAATGCATACTGATACTACGACCAGAAAACTTACCACACGATAGTTACCTTAGGATGCTTTTCACTGAAGGATAAATCGTAAGCGTCGTACTTCCTAGTCCAAGATAGCTTATTTGTCGGTTGTTGAAACTCAAAGTTGTGTTATTACGAGGGGACTAAAAAAGTGGTTCATGCAATGTATAAGTTTGCCAGATATACTGCAACATAATACTGTTACCAAAATGTAAATCTCACGGTGAAAAAAGTGTGAGGCTAGTTATCTTATTTATTTACCCTTAACAGAACGTATAAAAGTAAATTGATTCTTAAAAAAGCTAGGGAAGTGGTTGGGAATGAATATCGATTTTGTGAAAAAAGAATACTTTGGCTTGACCCTGTTTTGACTTCCACATTTCAGAGACTATGCACTATTGACTACGACCAAGCTAATGAAAAGCCCCTTTAGATTATTTCTGCAGCAAGATACTACATCACGAGCCTAGTTCTAAGTTACTAAGGTAATCTAGTCAAACAAGATTTAAGAAGTATTAAGGGCGAATGCGATAATAATCGGGTGAATGGCGTTAGTGAGAGCGAATTGTAAACAAAAGGAATTGTACCCAGAAATTCCCCTGAACCGCAGAAATAATGTAGATAGTGCTGATATAAGGCGAATGGTGAGGAATAAATGCGGTCAGGGCTAAAATAATGGGTTAGTGTTGAAAACTTATGTTTTGGTCAACAACGACTTGGTTTCAATATCCAATATTGATAGTGCGAGCGTAGAAAACTGGTAGTTTTTGATCTCTCGCGTCTAGTTCTTAGGGCTTGGTTCCAGTTGTTCGGTTTACTCCTGCAGTGGACGAGGAAATACCCTCTGCTTTCTTGCTTTTAGCTTCGGTGAGGTGGATGTTTTGTGGGCTAGTAGGTTGTAATTTGTAGGGTGATTAGGGAGCTACGGGTTGCTGGGAAGTTTAGAGAACTGCCGTGACTCCTGTCTGTGTAGGTACCTGAAAGAGAATAGTAAGGTAGTGGTAAAGGAATGAAGAGAGAATAAAGAAGAGAGTGAAGTAGCACCATAGAGACTCTGGGAGCTGGGTTAAGGCCGTATCGCTAACCATCCTTGCCTTTAAACAGGAGTTTACGTAGATAGCCACTCCCCCTCCTGCTCTATGTTCCCTGTCCCTGTGGAAGAGTTCCATGCCAGCAACACGCATCTCTTCGTCGGAGATGTCCGACGAGAGCCAGGATTCGGTGATGAATATGATGTCGTAGTGCTGATGTTCACGCAGCGTCCTCATTTCTGCTACTTTCCCTCTTAGCCCCCTAACGTTGCTGTACATACATATTAGAGTGTGCCTGATGAGAGGGGAGATCTGGATGTGTATTTTCGCGGGATGAGCGCTTACGTGGTTGAATTTAGCCTCGCCAGTCCTCATAGGACTGGCATTGTTCCGTTTTTTTGTGTTTTGTTCTTAACTTGGGTGGGGGCTGTAGCAGTGGTGGCTTCTTTACTTGATGTATCTAACTCACTGGTCAGAGCCTGTGTGACGGCCACTGATTCCAGAGGTCTTGGTGGTTGCCGTCTCTCCTCTTGCCTTGTGGGTCTAGGCTTACTTTCACACATACGTATTGAGCCACCCATGCGATCTTTCGCATTATACCATGTGTGTAGAACGTCTGTGAGGGAGGCATATGAGTCGAACTGGACGGCAAGTAGTCTTGGATTGGGTATGGTCTTCAGGTGCGCTGGCCTTGGCAGTATACTGACGCTGTTGGCCGGTATACTGTCGAGACCAACTTTGGTTGAGAGCCATTGCCATTGTTGCACGTCGTGAAAGTACCGATCTTTGACCGAGCGGTCACTTGGCAATTCTGGAATCTCATGTACAACTATAGTGTTGTTTCTGTTGGGATTTCCAACCGCTGACTTTCTCTCCTCCTCTCTTATTGACCATGGTTTGTCAGGCCATATAAGATAATAAGATAATAAGATCAGATTCACGAAGAAACAATGGTGCCCAGTGTATTCATGGAAACTGAACATAATTTGAAGCTGTGTAAAGACGAACTAATGACCAACTAGATACAACGACAAATTCATATTAAACATACCTGTGGGTAAAATCGGAGGTAACGTATGCGTTTAAAAGATGTGGTATAATAGAATCAAGGCTATCCAATATACAATGCTTATTCACGTTGTTCAGAGTGTCCTGTTTCTTTGTGTTCACTTCTCAGTTTCGTAAAACGCCTCGAGGTCTTTCATGCACTTGAAGACAGTATAAATACTCACTCCTGTGTTATAGTTTCTATAAATCTTTGGGAATCGTTCTGGTGCGAACATGACAGACGCAAAGACTGATCACTAATTATTCGGACTTGTTATATGCCCACAAATACGAGGCCAAGGAAGAACACAACAGCCTAGTCGGATGGAATAGTATATTTGCGAGGTCGTACAAAGATACCGATGCGTCCCAACTAACTGGCTAGAGAGTCGAATACGAGCAGTGCAACGTGACACGACAGCGTGCCAAATGGCGAGGATGCTTGACCGGGTGCCTTCAGTCTAGCGAGTCCAGTTAAACTATCAAGTTCAGCATCGACTTTGGGTCCCGTGTGATTTTGGGGAAGCGTGTGAACTTGAAAAAATATGGTTGGCACATCTTACTTCACACCACTAAGTTGAATACGACTTTAAATACTCCTGGAACCTGACGGTTCAACCTGATCGTGTTTTCTGTTGAGCCGATGGTTGTTGTAACTGTGCATTACCAGGCACATCGTCAAGAATTTCGATAATTGAGCTATATGTCGGTCGGCTGTAGCGAGCTGAAATGTCACTATGATGGATTCGCCTTCGAAATAAGCTGGTTTCAAACGGTCGATACCGACCCTCTCTTCACGTCCGTCTCGGTCAATTATGTAGAATTTCTCGTGTCGCTTGATCACTTTGAATGGCCTGTCGTAGGGTGGTTCAAGTGGTCGACAAGCAGCACCGTGGCGAATAAACACGTGTGATGTTATGCACGGAAGAGTGTGCTTCGGTTGTTGTGACTCTGGATATTTCTCCAACAATGACTGGTAGGACGCGCCGCCTGATTGTTTGGTTCTAACGATGGCTAAACTCGAAATTACGTGGGTGGTGCCGCCAGTAGATAACCTTGTGTTGTTATCTATCAGACGTCGACAGCGAGCATCTACGAGTAAATCATAATGGTTTAGCAAATCTATGCCAATGATGAGCATAGAAACATCAGCCAGCAGGAAAATTCGGTAGCAGGTTCACTTAAAGGTTAGTTGAGGTGGGCGCACAGTGCCCGGATGTTGAGATTGCCCTGCCGTTAGCTGCTTGGAGATTGAAGCATGGGTCATGATGACCCTCCTTTGCCGGTGTGGGGAGAACTCTAACCTCTGCGCCGGTGTCGACGAGGTGGCGAACTCTCGTTTTCGTATCGGTGAAGTAAAGCAAACGGCTGTTTCCACCGGCTACGGTCGTGAAAACGGGCCAGCGTGGCAGTTTCCCGAGTTTGTGTTCGTGTTAAAAATGCATGGCTTCCGGCATTTTCTATCTTCGTCTCCGTAAGTTTTATGAAACTAGCACCATTTCGTGTTTTCCACCCTGTTTGGTTTAGTTTTTGAACAGCCAAGCGGGTCGTTGCGATGCACTGAGATGTGTTTCTGTGACGTGATACGTGAACTAGGACCTCGAGATCGTAGCAACTTTTTAACGGAGTTGCACAGCTTGGTCACCTCTGAATCCTGACTCTCTAGTCTGTCGCAGACAGAATATAAGTTGGAGACGGGTCCGCTAGAGATCTCATCAAACACTAGGCTATTGATTCTGGGGAAGTGCGTGACGCTACAGATATTATGGGAAGTTGAGTGTTCGTCAAATCCACTATCCATTTTTGATAGTGCTGGCGTAGAAAACTGATAGTCTTTGATCTCCCGAGTCTAGTTCTTAAGGCTTGGCTCGAGTTGTTTGGTTCACTCCTGCAGTGGATGAGGAAAGCCCCTCTGCCTTCTTGTTTCTAGCTTCGGTGCGGTGGATGTTTTGTGGGTCAGTAAGTTGTGATCTGTTGAGTGACTGAGAAGCTACGGGTTAATGTGAAGGCTTGGGGATAGCCATGACTCCTATCTGTGTAGGTAATTGAAACGGAACAGTAAGGTAGGACAACGGTAAGTCATAGGACAAAAGAGGAGAGGGTTATCATGTAAGGAAGATCACGGGAATGAAAATGAGGATTATAATAATGGCGTATGGTAACTAGCAAGGTCTGATGGGGACGCATATTGTTGGGTTAAGTCCGTGACAGTTACGTTGGTAAGGTGGTAACTGTATTATTACGATGCATAATCAGTTCGTAGGAGTGCGTGTTACAATTCCGTAACGCTTGATCAACCCTACTTAACTTGATGTGCTCTAGTATCCGCTTAACCAGTACTTTACTCAACGTGTAAGTACTGATAACAAAACACAAATCAAAAGAACTGATACGCGATGTATTTGAAGGAGCTATGTATTTAATTAAAGTAAATGTAATAATAATGAATGGGGGAAAAGTTCCATCAACTTATCCGGCTTGTGAGGCTGAACTAGGGACTCGAAGTACGTGCGTGGTAATCAGCACAATAGAGCGCAAAATGGCGTCCAAGCCTGCTCGGATGCATGCTCGTTAAAACAAAACTTAAAACACCCTGAGCACCCGGAGGCAAGCAGGAGATTTATTTGGTTGATTTAACTTAAACTATTTCTTTTAGCCCTAGTTGTATTTTGGTGCCAGGAAGGTGCACTACAATTTGATGAGTTATAAACGGTCCACAAATTGACTTAATGCACTCAAACGTGTGTCAGTTCGCGCTGTTCAAGCTGTAATGCTTTCCAGAGGCCGCAAAGTCAACGACAAAGGCAGTGTGAACGCACATGGGTTTTCACACTTTGATATATGATTATCACTTTAGTCTCTGGGAGAATTGCCACACTGACTATGGGATAGAGGTTAATTGTTCGGGCAAACTGAAATTCTTGGGATTTTGTAGGCTGATATCAAATCGCCACGAAACCGTAGGTATTGAAGTACTGGGTATACAAGCCAGTCCTCATAGGGCTTTATTGTAGCCCTACAACACCCCTCATGACCCACCCTAACTTTTGTCCAGGTTGTTCATAGCTGTTTTCATGCATGAAAGTGCAGTAGAGTTATGAACTCCAAAGATAGGTCTTGAAGAGTTTCAAAACGGGTTCCATGGTGGGTGATTGCCCCTAGTTGCCTGCGCATAACGTTAAGTAGTGCAAACACGCTAGAAGTACCTCTAGAATAAGTGAGACTGGTATCCAGCTCGTCAATTAATTTCAGTCGCTCTCTCTCCATAGTACTATGAGAAAGGTGTGTAACATAGGGAGTAAACTACTTTCTGCGAGTCATAAGCGCTGAGAAACGCGATTCGTCACTTATCTATTCAAGTGATAGCTCACTGTTACTCACCCAATCTACAGGTAACCTAAGATCTCCATGTAGTACGCTCACTTCCCTTTCGGATGCTACAATCCTCCATACCTTAACATAGTCAGCACAAATAAGAATCGGAGAGATGAGACTCAGTGGGAGGTCATTCGCACAAAGGAGGAACAGCAGTGGACCCATTATAACTCCTTGAGATATACATGATGATGTTCTCTATATTGAGCAAACTCTGTTGGCTTTTATGCACAACCCTCCACCGTATAAACAATCCTCAATTCAAGATAGCAGCTGACAGCTGATACGCAACCTTGCTATTTTGAGTGTGAAGTGGCGTAAGAGACTACGTAAAATGCCTTCATAAAATCTAAGAAAACAAATAGGCATGGGCCTTGACATCCCCGCTTACCTTTTGCCATTCCTGTCTGCCGGAAGATTCGAGGCGTAAGAACTGCCGTGTGAAATATCACTCAGTACTCCACTTGAGTACATTTATTCTCTGACAGTCTTCGACCAGGCTTTCCACTGCTTTCAATGGCACCAGTAGAAGTGCAATGGGTCGACAGCACATTGTTTTCTGCCCGTTTCCTCTTTAGAATATGAGAGAGAATGGCATGCCTCCATTCCTGAGGAGTGTTTAGACGGGTTATAGATCGAACCACACAGGGCACTTGCACTTTATTTCAACGCAGATGGCCGAATGTCATTGCATCTTGGCAATTTTTCTGCTTGGGGCTTCGGCGGGTTTTCGAGTATCATAAAATGGGCTATATATATTCTATGTAACTCTTCTATACTGAGTAATGTTGAAGTTTGTTGGGGTGATTGATAATTTTGGTTGGGTGATGGAATGTTCTATTGTGCTGAAGGTGGCACTAAACGTTAGGACTATTTTTAATTCAGATACGTTCCATCCAATCGGACCAGTTATAGCGCAAGCTTTTCAGTTGGTAAATTTTCTCTTCGCTATGAATTGATTTAAGTTCTTGGGGTTTGCCTCAGGCTACAGGACGTAATATACAAGTATCACAATCACTTCCATCTACTGTGCGTCTTGTCGTTTTGGGAAAACCGGAGGTATTTGCAAGTGAGACCTAGTAAACAAAGCTACTCGGTTGATGCGGTTGTTGCAAACCTACTGAGCAGTCCGGCGAAAAATTAGCACTAATCGAAACTCGTAATTACCACCTAGGATAGTGATTCTGCACAAATCTTCAAATGTTTTGCCACCGAAGAGTCGTCAGAACTGGTTAAAAAGTTATGAGAAGAATCAAGAGGCAATTAACAAGGCATTATTAAGACTGCTGGTAGATAGGTTTGATATTTTCCCTAATGATGGTAGTAAATAAAGAGGCAGCACATAACTATCACGAAGTGAGACAAGTAAGTCACTACGTGAAAGTGATAGATCGAGACGTATGATAATTATTATTAACAGTCAGGACAACTGATATGAAAGATGCAAAGAAAGAAAACTGATTACTGCAATGTTAGTCCCTATCGTTGATTGAGTTTGAGTCTAAAATAGGTGAGCGCAGTCTGTGTATCAGTCCATAAATATTCAACTTACTTCGAGGTCATCAGAAGTCGAAGCATTGGTTTTACTGAGTGACAGTGGCAGAGGCTGCAAACATGACGAAGGAAATGTGTTGATCGCACATAAAGCATTTTTTCTCTAGTGGACATGTACTGAGACCACCGCCGTGTCCCTCTAGTAGTACTCTCAATTGTGATCAACTCGACACTTA